AAAAAAATAACTATCAAAACGCTAAATTTATTTTTAATTCTTGTTGTTCTGGGTCTTCATTTCACAAATTTATATCATTTTGACAGAGCCTCCTTACGCACAATGACTTAAAAAAAATCTGATTTTGGTTGTTAGAGCTGCTTGTCCAAATTGTAGAGCGACAGGCCTATACAAGTCAGCCAAGTATAAAACTGGCGAAGAGGACAAGCCACGCTAACACAGTAGATGGACAGAAGCTACGGCCAAAAAGCAAACAAATAAACTTAATTTTCGAAAAAAAAAACGCAAATAAGACAAAAAAAGCAGTAAAATAAATAAGCTGTCAGGAGAGCGCTTTATGAAACTCCCCTATGAAACGTAACACACAGGCGTCGGTGAACCGCCTCAACAAAGAAAGAAGTCTTTTTTCCTTAAACTTCCAGCTGTCTATGCGTTAAACTTCCAGCTGTCTATGCGCAGAAAAGAATGCCTTTACAATTTCTTCCTTTTTATTTAAAGTTTACAAGACGCTTTTAACGCCACGTAACTATCGATTCAAGCGCCCACCGCATGAACGCGGTGGGGCGCTTGAAAACCTTCCAAAGCGGCAGTAAATGTCACAAATCATCTGGCCCCCGAGCCTTCGATAGTACTGCCAACCATGAGATGATGTATACACGTACCTACCAAAGCCGTCTTTTAACTCTCTCGAATCCCTGCACGGCTTTCATACCTGCGTCGAGTGCACTAACAATAGCACGTTCCCAGAAGCATACCTATGGTGCGCCGAGAGACAATGCTCGCCTTGTATACGGGGCCCACGAAATTCGTTACTTCGTCTGGAGCCTTGACGAGTACTACAATGCCTTTCGATAGTTCGGAATGGTAGGCTATGGGTTGCGAATGGCCACCCTTCTCGGTGACGTCGGTGGGTAAAAAACACACGACAGACAGACCCATTGTCCGTGATCGCTTTTATCTGGTTGGCCGAGGCTCTCAAGACAAAGTCCTTCACATCCAGAATAAAGGGGAAAAAGAAAAGATATTGGAAAGGTCGGGCAACATACCACGTGATAACGCAACGGGTGAATCGGGTAAATAGAAATTTCATTGGTTTTTGTTTTTTATCCTTAATTTTTTTTGGTATTTTGTGGCTTTGATTGGAGGATCGAATCAAAATAAACTAATATATATATACTTTTCTATCGCTCATCTTCCAGGCGAAAAGAGGCCTAGTCACTGCGCTGTGGGGCCATGCGCGGCGTCTGATGTATGCAGACGAATGCTACTGCGCAGGCTCAGAACGCGCCCCACAGCCCAGTGGACAAAGATGTCAGCGGAATTCTCCACCAAAGAATCGCCAGGATTGCCAAAGCAATAATAGCATGTCGCTTCATTGCAGTCTCGGAGCAAGCGTTAGGTCCTAGCAAGAGGAGTCGTTACAACGTTGTCTTCACGTGATGATTTTAACCCGAGACTGGGACACCAGGAGTAAAAGATGTTTACACTGGAAGAGAAAGTAACAGGGACAGCGTGACTCTCAGACGTTTTCTGTCCCTGTTACTTTCCCTTCCACTGTAAAAATGTTTCCTCCTTCTGTCCCAGTCTCGTGTTTAACATCATCTCGGTAAACTTCCATCAGCTCGCCTGCGCACTGACTGCAATTACCTTGTCTTCTCGCCATCAGAAACGCCGTTCTCAAAACTCGGAACACGCGAACAAGATGTAAAGACTTAAGGAATAAAATAAATATAGAAGGACGCACACGGGCCCGTCCTCCCATACTTTATTCTTTTTCGAAAAGTATGCGCTAGCGAGGCTCCTCGCACTTTTTGTTCGTTCAGACAGCTAAAAAGCGATATTTCAAAGGGCTCATTAGCGATGACACTTCGGGCGCTTTCGAAGATTTCCCACTGTCGAAATCTAAATTCAAAGCGCTTAATCAACCTTTTGTTAAAAGAGGTGGGAGAGGAAAAAGAACGTTTACAGTGCACGCCATTTCAGTTCACTAAAAATATTTATCGGGTTTAGCAAAATTGCCAATTCTTCTTCTTCTGCTTATTATTATTAATATTATTATTGTTGTTGTTGTTGTTGTTGTCGGCCGAGCAACAAACTGTTAGTGCGCCTAGTCTGGAGAATAATTACCCCTAAACAGCTCCATTGTACTGCTAAGTAAACCATTTCACCCCCCTATAATGCATCGCTAGATGCCTTGGAGGTAAAATAAATTAAGGAATGAAGGAATTTTTCTGCCAAAGAATATGCCGTGTGATCGTTTTATGCGGTGCTCGAAATATCGGGTCTTCTCCTCTGGTAATTAATTTAGGTTTGTAGGTATAGTGCAGTTATTGACATGCCTGCATCCTGAACATTATTATTATTTCGTTTTTTTTTTTTTTTTTTTTTTTTTTTTTTTTTTTTTTTTTTTTTTTTTTAACGTTTGGGCGTCATTAAATTGTTAGCAAAATAACATGTTTGTGAACGCATGCTAATAAACGCTGCCTCGATCACAAAAAGAAGAAATGGTTACGTTTTTCGCCGCGAGCGCAACTCGATGTTTGCGGCAAGCAGCCAGTGTTGGGAAGTACTTTAAGAACAATGTACTTAGAGTTCTACTTCAACTAGGTGTAGAAAACGTGTACTTTACTCGAAGTACATTCTTTGATTATGTGCTTGTTCTTTACTTAAAGCTGTTTTGCTTTTATTGTACTTTCTGAGTAAAGTACAACTCCCGACTTCAAAGCGGGAACGCGTGGCATCGGGCACTCTCAGAGGAGCACTAGTCTCACGGCGCCTGGCCGTTAGAGTGCCCTGTAGTACCCGATGCCACGCGCTCCCGTGTTGCCGCTAACTTAACAAATAAGTGCCTCGTAAGTTTATTCTGTAAATTGTTCGTTAACGAGAGTAAAAAAGAAATTACTCTGTCGTCACTTGACCTTATTTAATATTTGTCCCCATTGCCGAAAATGATTGGGCAATGCATACCAATTAAAACAAAATTCTGTTATAGGGGAACGAAAGATTGTGTTGAAAAGTATTTCTAGTTTACTTTGAAAGTGCACTGTATTTATAGTATTTTACTTCAAGCACATTGCGCCCGGCGTACTTACTACAACGTGCCCCCCCCCCCCCCCCCCCAAAAAAAAAAAAAAAAAAAGAATTATGCATTACTGAGCGCTTATTTTCCGCCCAAAAGTAGCGATAGAGGTCCGGAACCAGACGGCAAAGTTTCAGCACTAACCATTGAATCATTTAAAAGTTATATGTGATTTCGTGAAATTTGCAGTGGAAAAATAAAGTCCAGTTTCGGTAGCAGGCGTCATAGAACTCCATGTATTCAAGAGAAAATTACTTATAACATTTGAATAAGATAACGGTTAGTGCTGAAACTTTGCCATTTGGTCCGGAGATCTAGCGCTACATGTGTGCGGAAAATGAGCGTTGGCGAAGCATAATTTATTATTTTTTTAGCTTAAAAAATTTATTTATGTATACATATATTAAATATATGCGTATATATATATATATATATATATATATATATATATATATATATATATTATTTTTACATACTGCAGCCCCGTCGGGGCTATTGCAGGAAAGGGGGGCGGGGGGATCACAGCTCACAGTATTTAATATTGAACAAGACAGAAAAAAACAAAAAACATCGTAAAATAGGATCAACCGCTGTCAACCGCACGCAGAAATTCGTCTGGAGGTAATGAACGAATGCTACCGGGTAGCAGATTCCAATGTTCAATTGATCTAGGGAAAAAAACTGTATTTGAACATGTCAGTGCCTGCATAAAATGAAATGTTTAGGTCATGCTGGCTCCTTGTTGATGACTCTATATGAAACCTTATGTATATGTCTAATGAGGTGAGACGTGGCGAGTTAACCAGACCGTAAAAGACTTTAAGGCTCTCAGTGTGACGTCTATTGAAAAATATATATATATATATATCTTTTTCTTTTTTTTTTTTTTTGGGGGGGGGGGGGCACTTAATTTGAAATGCATAACCTCTTATTTACTTTGTCCACTTTCAAGTACTTTTCAAATGTACTTTACCCAACAATGAGGACAGCATATTAATTTTAACTCAACCGACCTCGTATAGCTCCATTGACGATCAACTTCCCGTGAATTCGCTCAAGATAACGCGCACCCATAGGATACATAGAAAACCAAAAAACGGCTCGATTTGTTCGCGCGCGAACTTTATCCCCGTATGCGTTGCAGAATATACGAAAGCTTCCGGGTACAAAAGATCTCCGCGTAAAAAGAAAACACAAAAGAAGAAGAAAAAAAAAAGAGGAACTAGTACCGGTACAGTTGAGATAGGAACGAAGGTAAGAGCCGCGCGAACTGCCAACAGTTGACCCTTGCCAAGTTGGTCTCTCCAACCAAATGCTCAGAAGCATCTTTTGATGCGCTCCGTTATCAAGCGGATATTTCCTCACACGAGTTGATTTCCGCGAGTGGCGTATTTTCCGTTACTACTACAGGCGATTACATCGTTCTTTCCTTTCTTTATTTTCCTCTTTTTCTATTTTTGGAAGACCGTCACGGATATCAAGTTTTTCGCTTGTTTGTGTTTTCCTTCTCTTTAATTCAGACGCTGGCGAGCGACCGGCTTTCTTTTAACACGGGGGATGAACCGGCCACATCGCAAGCAAAAACCAGCTCCACTACTCAAAACCGGTAAAACCGAGTCAAAGGTAGATAAAAGAGAAGAGTAAAACATTCGGGGTAGATGGAGATTCATTTTCAAGCACGGCACGTGTGCGTTCGTGCGGACTGCAAACTAGCACGCGCGTGGATACCAAACAAAACAAAAATAAAAAAAAGTCGAAAGGCGTTCGACTCGTCGAACGCACGAAACTTTGCAGAGACGGAACGCGAAAGACTGATCTTCCTTGTTCTTTTTCGAACCGGTCACGAACTCCACAATGACTCATTGTCGGGATCGGTATTTACGACCAAAATCAGAGGCATAAGAAGCGCTGCAAAACGCACCTGAGCTCGAAGTGGGGCGAAGTGGCAAAAGAAATCCTTTGAAGAGCGACGTCGGCGTGGGTGCTTTGATCGTTGCACGTTTCAAACACACACACTCAATCTGACAGCTCCATCGAGAAGGCTACAGCAGCCGATCAGAGGCACAACACTGCGTGATTCGCACGCGTCGACTAACATCTGGCGAACACGCGAGCAGCACGAGCGAAGGCGTGAAGGTTCGACTGCCGCAAGCGGCTGCTTTGGCCTGGCTCATCCGCCGACAAACACACACCGAAACGATCCGCTGCCGGCGCCTTGGCACTGCCTTGCTCAGTTTGCGGCGAGGTTGGCTTTCCTGCACGTGTCTTTGTGACGTCACATGCGGCAGGCTAGCGGCATCTCGTGTCAACTCCGTAAAGCTCGTGCAAAACAAGCACGTTTCGTCTTCTTTTTTTAGTAACGCTTCTGCAAATTATAATTAGCATTCATATAGTTTTATTTACAGATATTGCGTAAATATCTTGACAAACATATGTTTTATACGTTTGTGTGTACGTGTTACATGTGTGCCGGCAGCACTTTTGACGTACTTGCATAGATGGCGCCACGTATCTTTCTCTGCGTGCGCGCGAAAGGCGTTGCTGGCGTTGTCGCGGCGGTGGTCGTGGAGTTTGTAGTTTGAGTGTCGTGAAAGTCGTGAACTTCCCATTAATTTAAGTTTCGACGTTTAGTCGCTATGTCACTGCGGCATTGAAGCATGGAAACGTCAGTGTGCTCTTTCATGAAAGCCTGCCTGGACTCTTACGACGCTTTGAGAGGTACTATTATTGTCTCTGTGCCAAGACACGTAGCGATAATTTGATGTATGATTTGTTGAGTTGGCATCGGCGGTCTGATGCTTTCCAACTTTCTTTCAGCGCCCGTGTTGCTGGTGCTTTAGCACGACCGAGAGTTCAAACGATTCTTAACACGCCGAAAAAAAAAAAAAAAAAAAAAAAACGGAATGAACTTGTGTTTGTGTGCTACTAATTTACAAATCAGTAACATTCATTTTTGCAGTTTAGTGCCGATACCACTGATCTCTTGTGACCATTTGTCAATAGTCAAAGAGATCAGTGGCTTGTACCGATCCCACGTTCACTGCGTGAAATTGTTAAACGAAGTGTCCAATTGCTGAATGTGACCAAAATCAGGAATTGGCGAAATTAGAAGTTGTGACCTGCGCGCGCCACATCGCCGTGCATCACATCTGTAATTTTTTTTTTTAATTTGTTTTGTTATGTATGTGTTACCAAATTAGAGGTGACAGTGCCTCCAAAGTTTGTAACGATATGGGTAAATTAAGCAGATAAATAAAAAAAAAATCCAACACGTAATTTTAAAAGTATTAAAAAAAACAAAATCTTGATTACTCAGAAATTTATGCATGCACATTGCATCGTTAATGCACATCAAGTATCAGTCATTCATTCCCCTTTAATCAGCTGAACCCGGTGGCCAAGAAGTCTCAATGGGTCACACACTCATACTGGCACACGTAGCACCATCTGACCACTGTGAGTGCGTGATCATTTGAGTGCAAGGCAGCAGTGTGTATGTGCTTTTTTGGATCCGAGAAGTATACTTTACCCAAAGGGCTGCTTCTTCTTCTGGTAAATATGTTTAACACATCACTTGCAAAAAGTGAAATGATTGTTCTACATATAATTGTTGCCTTATAAAATAGGACACGCTAGAGATTTGAGAGAAAATGAAAATAAAAAGACATCCACTAACTAACTCTAAGTCACAAATCTCCGAGACAACCCAAGCAGGACACAAGCAGGAACATGGATCCTGTTTAGGCCATACTCGTGGAGCTCATACTAGTTTCCTGGCACTTATATTGTCCCATTTGCTGTGCTGCTGTGTGGTGTACACTAGATCTAGTGTGCATTGAAATAAATGGCCATATCCATCCTAGAAGTAGACACCCTTCAAGTTACTCTGACTCTCGAGAAAAAAAAATTAAAGCCGTTTACAACTCCCTGTAACACCGAAATTCATATTAAAAATAGCGCAAAAGACGCTTATGCGACGCTTATGCAAACGTCAAAGACGTTTGCATAAGCGTCGCATCGGTGTATATGCAGCAGAAAGAGTACCATTTCATTAACACTATCTAACTTGACAATATTAACGCGGCGTTTTTTCTATTCTTTTCTCGTTTGGATTGTGCGGCGGGGTGATGTAGCTGTTTTGCTGACTTTTTGGAACAGGCGGTGGGCGGTATGATTGTGCGGATTTGGCGGTACGCCCTGTCTCTGTTGAACGAGACTAAGCACGTGCAGGGCGATAGCAAAGTTGGAAGCTTTCAATAAAGTTTAGTTGCCAGTTAGCGTTTGTCCTGTGTGCTTCTTCGTCTTTTTGTCCCGTCTCTTTTGCGCTATTTTTAATATGAATGTCCACTACCAACTTGCCCAGCAGACCAAGCTTTTACAGTAACACCGAATTGGAGTGCAGCTCTTGAGGAGGAGGAGGGAAGGGTACTGAGGGTCACCTGTTCTCGGGGCGGGGGGGGGGGGGGTCACGTGACCTTGGGGGCACGTGACCCCCAGAAAAATTTTTTCCGCTAAATCTAGCGGGGAAATTTTTCCGCTAGATTTAGCGGGGAAATTTTTCCGCTAGATTTAGGGGGGATATTTTCCGCTAGATTTAGCAGGGAAGTTTTTCCGCTAGATTTAGCGGGGAGGTTTTTCCGCTAGATTTAGCGGGGAAATTTACTTATAATGCACCGCAAAATTACGCCGACGGCGACGCCGACGCCGCTCAAGCCGGAAATGGGCCCCTAAGAGCTGCGCTCTAAAAGGCGCTTCAGTAACTCTTCACTAAAAATCAATAGCAAAGTCGCTTTATGAAACATGATTACGAAAAACCGCGAGATGAGGGTAAAAATGGGGACAGGACAAACACCCTGGGGTATTTTGTAATTATGTTCAATTTACACCAGCTCGTTGCCACATTACGTTTTCGTACACTTTGTGGACTGCACCTACAAGTTGATGTGTTGACCTCCTCCCAGGGAAATGCCCCAAAAAAGAAAATGCCGCCTTTTGGGACGCCGTGATCATCTCTGCTGCAGACGAACAGCAGGCTGCGGCATTTAGGCTCCAAGTCCAGAGGAAAAGGGAACGAGGACTTCTGCCACTCGTTCCATACCACGTGTTTGCAGACCTTCCAGGAGCCAAGATGGGTACGTCAGTGAGCGACTACGTCTTAGAAGTGCTCAGTCTTGCCCGATCTGTCGGCTATATTTGTTGAAGTCATGATTTAAGTCAAATCTATTTGTTACAAACCCTTTCCGACATGATAAATTCAGCTCAGTGACATCACCACTTTTTCCCAAGTAGGCCGACATTTCCAAGCACAGTGTTGTAACGCTTTGTTGGGTTCTCTTAAAATTGTCGATTACCTCCGGCGCTGTGAGAACGTGAAGTCGTTCTACACTACAGCGTGCGGTGTTGGGGCACGCGGGTGCCTTTTGCTGTGTAGTTGTCTTACAAGAAGCGTGCTATTTCTCTCTGAGAACTCAGCACCTAGCCTCTTCCGCCGCCCCAACGTTGCAACAGACTTTGGTAGCGTTTATTTGACCACGCTGCAAACACTATGTCAATGCATTCCGAACGTTACCAGGGTCCGGAGGAGCCACACTTCACATTTTGGAACGCCTGGCCGAGCTGTACGGCGACCGGTCCTTCGCGATGAGGATGCTGCTCATCCACACCGGCGGGCAGAGCAAGCGGCTTCCCAGCCACAGCGTGCTGGGGAAGCTGTTTGCGCTGCTCCCACTGCCCGCTGACACGGAGTTCCAGATGCTTGACCTCAAGCTCGCCATGTACGCGCCGTTCTTGGCGAGGATGGCACCCGGCTTCTTCCTCACTTGCTCCGACGACATCGAGACCTACGCTCTGCCAGGTGAGGATCCGAATGGAACGTTTGAAAGGGACGTGGACGACGGGACCTACGCATGCCTAAAGTTGCCGACAAGTTAAGAAGTGCAGGGTGTAGCTTATTATGTTTGCACCTCTTATTTTTTCTTCGGTGTTGTCGTCGGCTCAGGCCGCCATCTCGCTGGCTGTGAAGAAATGATAGTATGCTTGGGACCCCTCACGTCCTGTATGTCTTAAGCGAGTCGGTGGGTTTCTGTAGAGACACGGCCCATTAATTAGGCAACCAGGGCCGGTTTGCCGATCTCTGCGGCTATTAGGACTTCTTTTGAGGAGAACATGTACCCTGCGTTCCAGCCAATTCCACTCGGCAGGTGTAAGTCTTGCATGTCACTTTCATTAATTCTTGCTTGACGCGACTTTTAACAGAAATGACCTTGCATGCGGATTCTGGGGTACATAAATATGATTTGTTCCACTTGCACTTCGATCTTCTTCACCCTTTTTCTGCACACGGAATTGTATTTTAGTAATTTAAGCGAGGATGGACTCGCGGCAGCTATTTATCTGTAACACTAGGTGCCCTTAGTTTCTTCTCCCCCTTGAAACTGGTCATGTGACCAGAAAATCTCTTTCTCGGCTATTTTACTGACTTACTAATATTTTTTTTTGTTTTGTATTCAGTCAGCTACCCCCCTCTTCTTATGCCCTCTGGACCCCAAGATTAGTGTAATAAACAAATAAATAAATATTAGTCTTGCCAGTAGTCTTTGCCCGCCGAGACCACCAATATTTGCCTTTATGCTCTGCTGTTTCGAGGCAGTCAAAATGCCCACAAAAATGGTTCACCCTTTACTTTAGATTTATAATGGGAACTCGATAGCACAGAACGACTGCCCAGAGGACGCGCCGGAGCAATACTATACTCCGCTTCACGATAACTTGGCAAACTGGGGGGGCTGCGGCCCCCGCAACCCCATAAGAGTTCCGGAGCGAGGCACGTGACAGCACTCCTTGGTCGAGGCCACAAGGGCCTCGTTATTGCCACAGCAACAGTGCCATCTCTGACAAAACATGGTTCTAGGCCTCTTTCCCTTTTAACAGCAGTTAAACTCGCGCAATTCCATTTTTAACGAGAAGACATGAAGAACCAGAAAAGTGACACCACATCCGTATCCGCTCTTGATTTTTTTCTCTTTGTAGCGCCGTGGCCGTTGGCGATCGCCAGCAATCGCAGCCGTGTAATCAGTTGTTTCCACTCAAAACATTGCACTGTGCCCTGGCATTAGCACCCGTCACAGATTTGCAGGTAAATTGAGTGTATGGTTGTCTCATGAACTGGTCCTGAAGTGCTCGCTATTCTAGCAGACGGAAATGTTGTTGCAGTGGACGTCCATCCGAAGTTGGTTGGTTTCGGAGTAGACGACTCTTAGCTAGCAGACGACAGCCAGTTCCTCCGGACCTTGCGCCTCGCATTTGGTGTGCTGACACAAATGCTCCCGTGACGTCCGGTCACGTGCCTAACTCCGACGCTCTTATTGGGTTGCGAGGCCCCAGCCTCCACAGTTCGTCAAGCTATCGTGAAACAGAGTATAGATACGCTGTGCTCTGGTGCAAAACCGCCCTCTATAGCAGTACGGGTCCGGTTGCAATGGCGACAAACACGTTAAAATTCTACTGCAGCCGCGCTGCAATATTATTCTGACTTTTTGTCTATTGAAAAACGGCGATTATTTCTTTAGGGAGGGGAACCTTCACAAAGAAAGGTCGCCAGTGTCCGGGGAGGAAGGGATGAACCTGGCAAAAGAACATTTGTCGACAGCAATGTGCGTCTTGCAAGGGCAAGACATCGTCACCTATGACATCCGCCTCAAGATAAATTCTGTTTTTTTTTATGGTTTTGCTCACTCTTGAAAACCGAAGCTATTCGGGCAAAGATCAGGATGCTATATTGTTCAATTTGTCTTTTCCCGCACAGCTGTGCTGTCGCACACACTGCTTGAACTCAGGCAAGTGCTGTTATACCCCAGTTACACTAGCGCTCTCAACTGTCATTAAAAAGGTTATGGCACTAAAATTAAACGGATAGATTATTCTTGAAATAAAAGGCTCATACGCTTCTTAGTATATACACCGAGTTGCGCGATTTTTAAAGCTCTGGTAATTGCAATATTCAATTTACGAATTTTTATCATTTTCATCTGGCGACCTGGCAACACTGCCCAAGTTAGTTACACCATGGTGTCCATAAACCGTGTGACCATGAACGCTCTCATTCTAGGCACCGCCATGATCGCCCAAGCTCTCCTCGCCGCGGTACGATCAAAACCGCTCACACAACTCGAATGCTATTCTCGCTCTTGCCCCCGGCCCGTTGACCTTTTACCCTGCATGCGCCTGCGAGATAGTCTCGGACAACAGTGACCACGGCTAGTTCTTCCGTAAGTCGCCGTCGCTAGAGCTGGTCGCCGGCAGGTCTCAGTCAAAATGAACAGCTTCCAACATCTCTTGATAGCAATCAGTCTCATCGCTGCTGCGATCAATGTCAAACACTTTGACTAGGCGAGCGATGCCGTAGACGTAATCGTCACGGACCGCATGCTCGAAACGCGGTAGGTAAACGAGAAAGCTGAACCTGGAGACGCCAGGAAAGCCAAGTTTGTGAGTGCATGCAAGGAGACACCACGCGGGAGGCTGGCTACGTAGCCAGCCTCCAGCTTTGACTGGATCCACCTTTCCAAGGGACCTGCATATAAATCAATTTATCCACGAAACTATCTCGCCATTTTCAAAACAAATTTAACAGCATTAGCAGGATTATAGCAGTATAGCTTTCTCATATTTTTTTTTTGGCGTGTCATAACCCCTTTAAGCCAATGACCGTTGACATTTCCTAACTGTCATTGAGCTCAACTAAGTTGCCCGCTGTTACACGGTGCATAGGCCTGAGATGCGCGTCAAGGGACACAGTTGAAACCGAAACAAAATCAAAACTGATGTCACATTAATTTTTTTTTTTTTAAATAGCAATGCAAATTAATTATATGCACACTTTTCATTTGTTCAAAATGCTTAAGACAAAATAAAACTAACTTCTTTGTTTCTAGAGTAAAGAAACGACAATCGGAATGTTTCACCCAAATTCAAACGAGAGAGACACAACGAAAGTCTTATCTGCACCGACATCACAATGGCTGCCCTTGCTGAGCTTTGGCTTCCGCAACGTGCCGCAATCGTTCTAGTGGCAGCTCTGTCCCCGAATCAGCGGCGTAGACTTTCCATTTTCCCGGAAGGGGGGGGGGGGGGGGGGGGGTGCTGCTGCACGTTACCTTTTCGCCAGAACTGGAGATTGAAGCTAACGAAAACAAGCTGGAATTCCATTTCCCATGTATTTTGCCAGTAAAGGCAACTTGCGCGTTATTTTATTTACATGCCGCTACTAGAAGCTCGTTACATGGCACGTAAACAGCGTCTCGGTAAGGATCATGGCCCGGGCCCGGGGCTCTGCCCCCCTCCCCTCTGGATTTCACCAGGGGGCACGAGCCCTGTTGCCCCCCCATAGTCTACGCCTATGCCCCGAATCATACCTTTTCTGGCAATATTTGCTGCCACGGTACTTTTTAGGTACCTCCCCCAATCTTCCGCAATAGTAAGTGCTTCGCTGGCGCTGGACATGTGCAGAAATGCGGCAGACGCCACCATCTTTAGCTCTATTGGGGTGAACCCCCATTAGTTATACTCCGTTTCACCTTATGTTGTACTCGTGATTGTATTGCAGCGAAGGCCAGAAGTGCTAGCTCATAACATTGGCACCTGCCTTTACTGCACGAGAGCTTGTTCCGCCGAGATGTGCCCTAGAGCAAGGAGCTTGTGCTTGTAGCCTTTCCTGCAGTACATCATAAGGTGAAATAGATTATAACTGAGGCAGGCCAGCTCAGTTGAGCTCGGTGATTGTTAGCAGCTCAATGACACTTGGCTCTTCTTGGTAACTCCGGCCGATCATGATTGAGTCAGCTGTCATTGGCTTAATGACAGCTAAGAGCGCTAGTGTAACTAAGGTATTAGAAAGTCAGAGTTATCTGACTGCTGAAAGCATGCCTAGGCTGTTTTAATTCACACTAATGAAGTCACTGATGAGGAAGGCACTCCACGACTGCAATGCTAGGTCAAGCTGTATAAAAAGACCGAAGTGCAATACTCATACAGTCAAAGCTCACATGTTTTGTTCCCAGGCATTTTGAGTGACTTGAACAACAAAATTAAAAACTTTTACTGCACGCTGCAACACCTTGTTGTTTTTACGCACGTGTGCCGCTGCCGTCAAAGTGGTAAAATCGTAATTCATGCACGTGCGTCAGCCACCCCCTCATTCTTTTAGAAGTAAAAAGAGCGATCACCATCTGACTTACATTTGTGCCAGTATGGTTGTCTTTTTTTCTCTTCTTTTACCTTTCTTATGTGATGCCAGAATTATAATTTTGAGCACAGTTGCAGGTGACCAGGGTTGTAAAGTACCTAGGTACAAGTAACTGGAAATTGATATCTAGGTACTTTTGTTGTACGTGAGGTACAAACCTAGGTATTTTTATTTCTTGGTGTCTGTATCTGTATCTTAGGTACATTTTCCAGTAACTTATAACTAAGCGAAGTTGCTTTTTACGGGTACTTTTCTATTCACTTCGTCAAAATGGTAGAAACTATAAATATTTAAGTATTAACACACTATCATGTGCCATGATTAACGTTCAGTTAGGTACGACCTGAAAGACACTGACTTGATCGAACAACGTTTTAGCGAATGGCGGTGTTCGTTTGCGTGAACGGTGGATTAGCAATGCCGTTCTAGCGACACCAATTTATTGAATCGCTTCAGAACTCTGTTTAGAAAAAATAGTGACCTGGTTCCTTCATTTCAAACCGAAATCGACTTCATTGCATGTTTGGAGCTCCTCTGACAGCTGTACAAGGGAGGAGATAACTAGAAATATGTGTGCCGTTTCTGTTAAAGCCCCTGTATATCTGGGAAAAATGGCTCTTCCCCCCTCCTCCAAACCTCCAAATCCAAACCCACTTTGGGTCCTGGGACACCAGCATCTTGCGTACCACACGCCATAGATTCATAGTGGCTCTCCACGACCACTACAGTTCTCAAATTCAAAGTTATTAAAAAATGGTAACTGCATATTGGGGTTTCTTTTGTCGACATCCTTGGGGAACCATTGTAGCTACTGCATTAAGGACTTATCGTAGAATGTCAACTGTGGTTTGCAGGCCCTGCAGGTGCAAGCTGAGTCCGCCCTTAAAGTGACAGCTCCCCCAAGCAATGCAAAACTCTTGCATGCTCTTGCATGTGTTCTACGAAAAGTCTTTATTAACGTGACGGGTAAGCGTAGCTGCACTACCGAATCAAGCAACAAGATGGAGAAACAAAAATGAACTTTGTCAATCCACAGTTAACGATTCATGCTCCTGGCAATCGTTCTTGAATCACCTCCTAGGAACTGAAGAAAACTTTTTGGGAGACAGGTATTTACCTTTCTATTTAGTATGATGCTGTGGCACTTGAGTACACAACAAAACCCGGTGCCCTGCCCTTTCGCATTCAGTACATTACTTTACGAAGTGCAAGGCCAGCATGACCAGCGCACCAGCCTCCCGTGTGATCTGCTCCTCATACTGCTAATAAGCATGGGCGCGCCTCGCCAAGGGGGAGGAGTGGCATTGCGTATGCATGGCGAAACTTCAGCCGCACAGCCCCATGGGCCCAAGAATCAAGAAAAGTATATTTTTCTACTCAAAAGCCAACCTTTTTTTTTTTTTTTTTTTTTTTTTTTTTTAGAAAATTTGTTTGAGAATTAGTTGCACAGGACTTCTCTTACTCTCTTCTTTGGTGATGTATGATGATGACACATAAGTGGCAATATTTAATGAGTAGCAAGCCATCTGTAGCACATCTTCAATAATAAAAGTGATAGAATCTATGGACATAATTTTTACAAGGGTGCACGTGTCAAACCGGTCATTGTACCGGTTCGGGTTTAACAGCTTTGAATTTTGTTCTGGTTCAGTTCCGGTTCAATCATGCGTGTGAAATATTGGTGTCTGGGAGCATTTTGGCATATTGAACGATCTTTGATGCAAGTGATTTTGGGGAGCGATCGTCTGTTTCAAGAAGACAGGCCTGCATCGTCATGTAACTTGAGGCGTCTGTCGAAAAGCCAAAGCTTACGAAAATGCTCCGTCACAGGAAACCACTTGCCGCTACACCCGCCGTCTTCCATCAGAAAAATGACAAAATCTGCCAGATTTAGAAATAAATCTACTGAAATGGTATCACCGTACCCATTTAGGTAGCACTGAGTGGTCGGAAGCGAAGCTCGACAAACCAACCACTCTTGTGCCTCATCTTCAGGGTTGTCCTCCACACAGGACACATTTTTTGCAGTCACAGCATCTGCTATACCGGAAGTGGAGGTTTTCTTCTGGTTCCGGTCCGCTTTGGGACTTTTTTTTTTTTCTATGCTGATATGGTTGATGTTCTCACTAGAAACAGACACACATGCTGCAACATTCACATTACTTTTAGAGGCATACACACTTTTTTTGTTGTTTTGCATGCCATGTGCCATGTTCTATTTGGCCAGATTTTTGGGCTGTTTGTTTGATGCGACACCCGCTCTTCTACTTACAGTGGCTTCAGAGGGGAGATGGACGTTTGAAGGTGCTGGCTTCACGGCCTTGGCGCATCCGTCACCGGTGTCACTTGGGCTAACTCATGGCGTCTATGTGCTTCCGGAGAATCCAGGAGCTAGTTCCGCCTGTGTAACCACCTCCTGTTTGGAAGTGCTTCAGAAACCCACAGAGGAAGTCATGCGGAGAAAGGGCGCCATTGTCACCCTGACAAAAGAAGGCACGTCAACTTTTTTCCTTCTGTTGACAAAAGAAGGCAAGCAATGCAAGAGTGGTTTAGAATAGTGTTTCTTCGCTGCGACGCAAGAGATCAAGCATCTCACGCTTGCAACATCACCATGATACAGTAAGAATTTTTATTTCACAATGAAATGCTGTAATATGAGAGGGAAAAAAATAAGCTTTTGTTTTGGAGCTACATTTTAGCTGTTTAAATATGAGAATGCGACGGGAGCGGTCCACCGGTCATGTCCGTTGACGTCGCCTCAGCAAGAGAGGTCTCATGTACTGACCCATCGCCGAGAAACGTTTGCACGTCGCAAGCAGCAAATTGCTGGCGATTGTTGCCCACCTTGCCGCGTCTTTCAAAACATTTCCGACGTGCACCCCCCATGGGAGTGCAGTGTCGTCCTGCGTTGAAAATCACAGTTGCGGGGATGCCGTCGACTTTGCACCCATGACGCCATGGTGCTGGAAGCCTCCCTTTTTTTTCCGTAACTGTGCTCGTCTTGGCTTTAGCCAACTTCTCATCACGAATCCTCGGAGGAGGAGCACAAGGACCCTTTGCGTACGCGTGCAATAGACCCTTCCCGAAATTCAGTGCCATCTGGTGGTTTGTAAAGCAGTTTAGGTTTTGCCATATCAATGGCGGAAATGAACTTGTATCGGCACCGTCACATTCGCAAGTCAACGGCACGCGAGGAATTGTTCAGTGTGAGTTCTTTCTCAATCACTTTCAGTTCGATGGTGACAAAGAACCTGCATTCAGAACAAAACTCAAACCCACTCAGATGCCTCGAGAAAATACTATACAGCATAGTGCTTTAAAGCCGATTGTGTGCCGCCCACAGATTGACTGGATCTGAGTTATTAGAAATAAACGCTTACGTAGCTCTTCTGTTCCATTCCTACGTCGCGTCGTACTGACCCCCCGAATGTACAGGCCTCACAAGATCCGCTTCGGAGCTTCTTCAACGTCTTCCTTTATCAGTCACTAGAAGGCCGCCATTTGTATGGCACAGATGCCGTTTCACAGATGATGATAGTGATCAAAGTGGCCAGCCTGAATTTCGGAAAGGGTCTATTTCAGAAAAATGGCGCACACAAAGCACAGATAGCTGTTAGCTTAGAACATATGCGCAGTGGCAATGACGCTATTCTTTGCGCACGCTAACGCTTTGCATTCGCTACTCTAAAACTCCCTGTCCTGCATATCCGTAGCAGAATAAAGCGGTGGGTTTTAAATCTTTATATTCGAAGTACACTTAACTCGAAAATGCTTGCAATCAAAATGCTTCATTTCTTCCCTGGTTGTCTAACCTTTTGGTAGTTATGCTTCGAACTTTGTTGAGCTACTTTCTTGGATTTGGTGTGGCACAGTAGGAACTACGTAGTATTCATTTCTTAACTTTATTTTTTCTGTTTGGAACCCTATGCGTTTCATTGTGGCCCAAGGTGGAGTGGAGTTATATAAATGAATTATTCATGCCCTGCACAGGTCCGTGCATAAAATATAATTTGTAGGCTTATAGTGATTGTGCTTTTAACAAACACATTGATTGCATCATTAAAAAAAGAATGACGAAACATAAATAAGTTTTTGTAATTCGTTTGTAATAAGTTGCACTAATTTTGAGATTTCAACATTCTTATATTTTTTATGCTGCTTTTTTTAACAGTTTTTTCCTCGTACAGATGGGTCCCGTGAAGAAATTGCCTTTACCGACAGTGCCTTCTTCTTCGACTCTACGGTAATGTGCCGGATGCTCCGGTTCTACGAGAAAGTCAAGCCTCTTTCCTACGAGATAGACGCTTATGGCGACTTCCTCAAGGTGCTCGGCACAAAAGCCAGAGACGTGGGCAACGTCGACGCGCCGGACGGTTGCGGAGACGCAAAGCCGAGCATCCGAGATGCGCTCGGGAGCTCGGACCTACGAGTGATCGTGCTACCCTCGTCGAGGTTTTATCACCTCGGTACGACCCTGGAGTACATCGAGAACCTCTGTACGAGTGAGACCTTTGAGCGTGAGTTGGGTACGTCCAGGTTCGTGTTGAGCAGATTGGTCGGCCCAGCCGTCGAGCAAAACGCTCCCAGTCGCATTGAGGGAGTTGTCATGGGTTCTTCGTTGCACTCCGGATGCATCGTCGGATCGACGGTCGTAATTGAACATTGCCGTTTCGAAACGCCGGTTTCTGTTCGTAAGAACTGCATCGTAAGTAACTGCAGGTTAGCCGGTGACAACGAAGTGCAAGTGGACGTTCCGAATGACTGCATCATTTTCACTGCCTGCGTTACAAAGTCGGACGCGAGCGGCTATGTCACGGTCGCTTTCGGTGTCCGAGACGACTTGAAGCTCGTGTCGAAAGAAAGGGAAAGTTTGTCGTACTTTGGACGGAGGATCGGGGAATTGGCGCGTTCCGGTACGGTCGACTTAAGTTTAGTGTTTGAAGAGTACTCCGACGCATGTTCGCTGTGGGAGGCGAGACTCTTTGCTGTGAAGCCGACCATGAGCGAAGCGTTTTTGTCGACATTGCACTTCGTTCAGCGTGTGCTCGCCGGAAACAGCAGCGACCAATCTTGTCAAGTTTGTGATTTGAAAGTGAGCATGAGAGACATTGTAATGTGGAAAGACATACCCAGAATCATCAGTCACCAGGATAGCATATTTGACTGAAGCAGTGGGAGTAGTGCATTTTGCTTGGTGAAGAGCGGCTAATGCAGCTGTCGGAGGCTGACTTCTACCGTTCGTGGAATAAAAAAAATAAACATCACATTATCACTTTCAAGCAGTACAGATTTAAGTAATTGATTTAGTACACATGATTATCACGTAAGAAATTATTCTGTTAATGAAATGTACTTTCTTATAATGTTTTCGTTCTTGATTACTAATATGGGTGTATGACTTTCTTCAAACCATTTCCCTGACCACTTTTTTTTCTTCTAATTTTTGTGCATGGGTGTTTTGAAGCATGGCCTATTTGTCGACACATACTTTGATAAATGCACTATCACCCAATGCTAACTTCTTTTTAATTAAAAAGAAAAAATCGACATACACCAGCTTCTTTAGGGAGGAAATGGTTAGTTTTTGGTAACATGCAAAACGTCATTGGCCACATCCACCACCGAGCCAGGTTTCCCGCGGTGCAACCAGAATTCGTCACGTTTCGCTTGCGGACGGCGCACGAGTGCAGTGTTCGACGGAGGATGTAAATTCTCCGCAGGTTCCCGTCTACTATCGCGCCATCTATGTAGTGACATATGAACTGAACAAAAGCGGGGACCACAAGGACCGTGCAGAACTGTGCAGCCTAGAGTTCCTGTATATGCTACCTACGGTAGCAGAGTTGCGCATTCAGCCTCGGCGGGTGGCCGTAGCGCCGGCTTTCCCGCACGCCCTGGATGCTTTGCTCCTCACGCGACTAAATTTGGCGAATAGCGGCGCCGCGCGCGCCGCCGCGCATGGAAAACAGGAGATGAGAAGAAGGAGGGCGAATGCAGGGGAACATACGTCGGGGCGCGAGAAACGTCGGCGGAGCGACCGTAAAGGTGGCTTTCTTACACGGCGCCGGATGCTTTGCTCCTCACGTGATGGATCTCGGCGAATAGCAGCGTGGCGGCGCGGGGAAAACAAATGCGCAACTCTGGCTCCCCCTTCGGGGGAGCTATACGGGAACTCTAGTGCAGCCGACACTTCTCCGCCACCTGGACGTGGCCTGGACGTTGTGTTTGGATGTTGACAGGGAAAACAAGGGGGTGCAACATAAATGTATTTCGAGCCTTCGGGAATATTCTGCGATTTTCTTTGGAGGGCATACAACCGACGATTATTGCAAGGACATGGAGTTAGTGGCGTCGGAAGTATCTCAGTGGGGGGGGGGGGGGGGGGGGGCGGCGGGGGCAGGGCAGGGGGCAGGGCAGGCATACGAAACACTCGCATATGTTTATTTAGAACGAGTATAAATATGTCCTTCCACTTTTGGGCTGTGGTGAAATTATTTTTCTCCCCTTCAAACTGTGTGAAATAAGGAAGAGGGCACTAAAGAGGATTCTGCGATCGTCTGTTCTTGGTCATAACTGGTTCTACGGGCCCTAAGCATCCTAAAAACTACAATCACGCGATGCCAATTTCTCTATTAAAAACATGATGAAAGGACGGAACACACCTCTTTCTGAGACGAATTTTCCGCTCAGGAAAGGCTGACACCGCTGTTGATACTCCAGCAGCGGTGTCAGCGCGGTGACGATGTGCCCTCGTCGGCCAATCGCAAGCAGCCTCTCTCGGAGAGCCGGCTTGCGATTGGCCGATCAGGCGCATGGCTCACTTTCCTACAAAACGACTTAATCCACCTTTTTGTCCGAAATATGGTTTGGACAGTAAATGGATCTGTTTCCCTATCTCTCCGCGCTAGTCAAATAGAGAGTGGATCGCTTCTTTGTGGTGACCTCGAAGCGAAGGGGGAAAAAGCGACCTTTGGGCCGCCACTATCAAGGTCACTGCAACTCAACAAGTCTACAGGATGTCGCTACTTTCGGCCAAAAGGCGCTAGTTCTGTAGCCATGTATACACGTTTGCAGTGATTTCCCTACTCGCCCCCTAAAAAGGGGGGCACAAAGGGGAGGGGGTGTACCCCTCCCCCGTTCAAAGAATTTGCATCTTCTACTTTTGACATTGTTTATATCTTGTCACAAAGGACAAAAAACACATCTCCTTCCTTCGCAATGTTGCGATTCCGCGAGGCAAAAGTTAGAATATTTCCCGACCTGCAGCCGCGAGTGGCAGCTGTGAGATCCACGCGGCGTGACATCAATGGGGGACTTGTTAGGAAATTGTGCAAATGCCTGTTCGATAGAAGGTCATTTTTCTATTCATTTTATCGTTCCAACATACATATAAATGCATCAAAAACCTGGTATCACCCACAAAACTTTTATTATACAGAGTTTTAGTGGCGCCATCTATCAGAGGTCAACAAAACCGTCAGCTCTATCTGCTACCGCCAACAGCCGCCAGAAGCCGGAAGTGGACGGGGGCAGAGCCGGACGGGGATGGCCAGACCCGGACGTTTCGCCATGTTGATCTCACTGCGCAAGCACGTGGTCACGTGGTCGCGAGCGGGTGGGTTCTCGCCAACGTTACTAGAACCACTCAGTTGGGAAACTGCCATAGAGACTGCTCTGAAAAAGTGGCTCCAATCTGTCCACCAGAACCGAGCTAATGGCGAACACAACGCCGCCATTTCTTCCGCAGCGACCACTCGAGGAACCGCACGTTACTTCTATTTTGGCTTTAATCGGCCATTTTGGCGCCGAAACAGATACAGCGGTAGAGGTTACAGGGGTGCCACCCCCGCCTCCCCAGCGGACGCGCCGCGAATTACCACCCAAGTTAAAATGCACCTAGGTCGGGACGCGCTACCTGAAAGCACCGCTGAGGCATGGTTGTATAAAAACAATAGTAATTGTTCCGCAAAACCTTGCAAACTAAAGATTATAAAAACATCACGCGCTCTTCATTTTGTACTAAACTCCAATAAATTTCAAACAAAAAGAGTCCTTTCCGTTTGTTTTTACGCAAAAACATGCTTTCTGAAAGCTCGGGGTGACCACAGTACAGACAAATGATAAAGAGTGGCGCTGTTGTCGTATTTAGCTCGGTCTCGGTGGACGCCAGCGGCTCAGGTTTCGACGGCGAGTTTCCCAACTGAGTGTTCTAGTAACGTTGGTTCTCGCTGATTCTTGATGGTGAGCAGCGTCACCGGAACCCCGCGCGTCCCCCACTGACGTCACAGCGCACGTGACTCGGAAGATGGTAAAGGAGTTGAGAGGTGCCGAAAACCTCAATCTTTGTCGATTTTTTAAAATAAAAACTAGGACATGCAGGCAAATGTGTTTTTTTTGTTCTTTACCTCAGAAAGGTCGAGACACGAACTCCCAAATTATTTAAGCAGAGCACTGAAATTGTGGCACAGCTCCTTTAATTTGCAACGACTCCTCTATTCTCAATGCCCCCCCCTCTCCCTTCCCCTCCCCTAAAAATTTAGAACCCCCCCCCCCCCCTAATTTCAATTCCTGGAGAAACCCCTGTATGTTTGCAAGTACGGCCTCAGGGCGCCGGCCATCATAGGCAGTTGGGGTGCGCTTGGGCGCGGCCATAATCCGATTACCACGCCTTGGCAAGGCGTCGCAGTCGGATTATGGCCGCGCCCAAGCACATCATAATCACACACACACCCACAAACCTGACCCATAAATCTGCCCCCGGTATGGACTGCAAAAGCAAAGACAAATGGCCCAGTCAAAGAAAGAACACAAGGCAGTCGAAACTGGTAGGAACCTGAAAACCTGGGGGGCAGCGCGGGTTCCGATCTTTTGTTTACGGGGCCCTGTGCACGGAAGAAATATTATGTTACGGTTTTACTTTTTTTAAGTAAACAATATTTTGACTTAATCCACGTAATAAAAGGAAATAATCCTGTAAATTTGATAGATTTTTTTTTTTTTTTACAAACACAAGCTGTCTTTTGCACCCCAAAAGACTTTCGGTCGCTCCGTTTTGACGGCCTTTCCGAGCCTGTTGATGTCAAAATTTCTGGGACGATTAAGTTCTACTGAAATCACGAAGTTAAATCTAGCCAGGTCCTTCTGCTGTGCTATAATAAAACATGAGGGGATCGGTCATCTTACAGGAGTATTAAAAAATTTCTAACAAATCTCTTGCTAACCGATCCTTTAGCTAATCACGAACATTTCCAGAAGCGGTGCTAGGGTGGGGGTTGTTTGACCTCTACTTTGACCAGAAGTTCGCGAGATGGAAATTGCCAGCAGCACCTCCTTTCGGTGCTTTTAATAAAAGATATGAGCCAAAGGAATCCTATCCAAGTAATCTAAATCTGATTTACGCCTTGACGTTTTCTTCTTGCCCGCTTCATACGCAGCGTCGTGCTGTGTGCTCGTCTGTCTGTACGAGGACGACGGTGTAGGTGATGACTGCTCCAGACATCTGGAAGGATCAGACAAGGAAGGCAAGGTTAAACAGCTGGGATCGTCAGCCCGATGGTTTCTCAAATTCAAGTATGTACGCTGCTCTGTCACACAGCGCGGCCCAGTTAGCGGAAAAAAGTTGGTGGTTGTCATGCAGTCTCAGTAAAGCAAGAAAGCGATGACGTCGTGTTCACACTAAAGGTATGAACATGACGTCAGATAAAGGTAAAGCACAGGGGTGAAAGATATATATATATATATATATATATATATATATATATATATATATATATATATATATATATATATATATTGTCACGAATGACAAGTGATGAGGCAGCGAATGACTGAGTAATCTGAACGTTTAAGGGTGCGAACTTGTGCCCAAAAATTAAAGGAGAAAGAAAGATAACAGCAGAGCGTCGAAGTCGGCGAAAGAGCTGAGTCGAACGCTGGGGCGAAACTGACTCCGCTCGCCTTGCGGAATCGTTCGGCGTAGAGGGTTCGGCGCGTAGAACATTCTAACCTCGAATCAGCTAAGACGGTTCTCGAATTCACCAGAACATCACATTACAGTGTCTACAAAAATGTGTAGCCGCGGCCAGGAATCGAACTCTGGCCTTCTGCGTGGAAGGCAAGCGCGATAACCGTTAGGCCACGCGCGCGCTGCCTACTCGGTCAGCTGCGCGCGCGGCATTACTCCCCCCTTTAAAAAGTGCATCGTCCAGATGCAACCCAAAAACAAAACAAAGCAAATAAAAAGAACGGTAAACTAAAGAGTCATTTGGAACACATAAGGTCCACAGT